GTGTTCTGTGGTACTCCCCTGGGACATTCTTCTCACCTCCCATTTGGGCTCCCATGACTGATTCAGGGGCTCTGAACACTACAAAAGAGCCACGTGAGGTATAACTGACCTTTGACATGAAACCTTCTTTGTTCTGTGCATCTTCAAGGCACATGGGCTGTCTATCACAGGAGAACAAACACACCCACGTTCTGCAACTGTGTGACAGCTCTTAGTGCTTGTCTGGAGGCAAGTTTGGGGCAGACTATGTAGGAATAAACACTTTCCTCCAGATCTTCACAGTTTTGCTCCTGCAGAGTAAGCCAAACTTTGATTTCCATGAATATTCATGGCAATTCACAGGAATTGCTGACAGGAACACCATCCCCAGTGCTTGGTGTATCCTTCAGTGACTGAGCCTCATCCATGCCGAGGGAAATTACTGCACCTACTCTGAACACAGCAGAGCTTATGGACAATCACTCCTGAGAAGTGGTTTAGGCCAGGAGGTGGAGGAGCCATTAGGGGGACAAAAACCAGGGAAGGAAACGGGAATGTACCCAAACAGACCCTCCTGGATCATGGTCAAATTCTCTGGGCTCCAGGGTGATGTTCTTCACTGCACTCACATCCCAAAAATGGGAGTTCCAAAAAGACTGCCTGTGTTCAGCAGATGGAGTAGAAGGTTCAGGGTCCCACAAGCAGAGATGCAAACCCCTTTCCCTCCAGAGACTCCAGCCCCTCCATACCCACCCCCTGCTCCCAACCTTGGCAGGTAAAAACTGAATTACTACAGAGGAAACAAGATGTTTCTTTTCATCCAGAGCAGTCCTGTCCAAACAGAGCTGCCAAGGGAAAAGCCTGTGGCCCTTCCCAGGTGAGGAGTGATCAGCTGTGGCACAAACATGGGTGGCAGAGCTGAACACAGAGCTGAACAGCGTTGGTTGTGGTGTGCTGAGATAACCGAGTGCCAAGAAAACCTGAATCAAACGCCAGCCAAGCAGAAAATATCATGCTCTTGAAGCATCATCCCAGAAGAGATTTTGTTATATTCTGCAGAAGAATAGCAGCTAAAACCCAGGCTGTGCTGCCTGGTGCTGGTTTGCAGAGCGTGAAAGGTGCTTGGTGCTTGTAATGATGAAGACACAAAATGCCTCCTGAAATGAGGAAGAAGGGGATTCTTGCATGCAGAGGATGCTGCTATGGCCACCTCTCAGCTGCCACACACAAAAGCTTTAATGTAAGATTGCACATCATGGCTTTGAAAGGGCAGAAAATTGGGAGGTTTTCTACATCCATGCCATTAGAAAGATTTTTCGTTAGTTTGGGCCTAGAGATATCAGTTTAAAGAAATGGTTGTTCCTGAAAGTCTCACTGTACTCACTGAAGTGAGCTGTGAGCTCATTGTGAGGAGGAGCATCCCTGTTACCATGGACAGAGCTTGCACAAGCCTTCTTTACAGGAAAATCACCCCTGAAAGCCCATCTGGCTCCAATACTGCCTGCATAAATCTTTCCCAAGAGGAATATTCCCAGCTTCCCAGCTTCTTTTCCAAAAACTTCTTCTTTTTAAGACAAAGATGAAGCAACATGACAATGCCTGGCCTTGGCTGATATCAAAATGCCTGTGCTGATATCTCTGTGTGTACAGAAAGCTGTCCTTATGTAAGGGGATAAAACTAACAAACCCTGAGATAATAAATAATTCAAGAGGGAAATTAGCCTAATTACTAAGCACAAGGGAGCATCTCTGGAGCTGCACCCTGTTCTCCCAGAGCAAAAAACATCCAAGTGCAGGATCAGCCTCTCCTCAGCCTTCCCCCTCTGCAGAGTAAGACTCAGACCAAGTTACCCAGCGCCTCAAAGGATCTGATTCCATCCATCTGGGACACATCCTCACCAAAGGGAAGTCACATTGGACTCATCTGAGTGTGATTGATAGAAACTAAAGGACTGTAATTTCCTTTCTTTTGTGAATCCAAAGCTTATGTTCAGTACCTGGAGCTGGTGCTGTATGACCCATCATGAAAACGAAGTCATTTTCATAGTCCCTGCTTTCCTAGATATAGGCTTTCATCTTTAAAGATGATCCATATTCTTTGTTCCTAACTACAAGACTTACTTGCTTTCACTGAAGCAAACACTTTGAATAAATCCACTTCAAGCAGTCCCAATCACTTTGTATAACTGACTTTTCTAGCACTTTTTGTATCAAATGCAGACTTTTTTTTTTTCACTAACAAAATGATTAGAAGATTGTAATAAAAAAGATATATTCCATGAACACTGCTAAGAAAACTTTTTATGGTATTTTTTCTTTCTTTTTTTTCCTTAGTACTTTAGGAATAACCAATTTCACAAAACACAAACAAAACACAAACACAAACAAAGGGCTCTTATGAAGTACAGAATGTACAATTTTATGTGAATCACCCATGGCCATGACCATTAATTTGTCTTGAGCTGGCAGAGAATGCAATTACAGTTGAAAACATTTTCCTTGACAAGGAGTTACAAAATTAATTCACCTCATCAGGTGTAGTGCTGTATGATGAAGAGAAAACAGCAGAGATGACCTGATAGGTAACAGAAGGTGGAGCGAAGAAAAGGAAGAATTTAAAATTAAAGCTCTGTTTTGCAGCAGCCACAATAATACCAGGTGGAGCAACATGAGATTCCTGCCATGTCCTAGCACGAGTGGGGTGTCTAGAAGATCCTAATTAGGTGGACAAAAGCAAGTTTCATGCTGCCTCTTCCTCTGAGGAGACATGCCCAGACTGTGGGGATTGCTGCTGCTCCACTGAGCAGCACAACACAAGTGTCTGTGGATGTGTGTGCTTGGGAAAAAACACTCCCACAGCTAAATCTGCAGGATTTTGTCAGGCAGAGCTCCCAGCCAAGTTTTGGTTTTTTTTAAGTCCCTGAGCACCATTTCCCAAATCGAAATCAAAGAAGTCAAAGCAAGTATCTGCAGTGAGTTCATGTCCAAGGGAATTATTATTCTTCATCTAAACAAGATTGAATGATTACCACGAAGTTTGAGAAGAACATTAGAGACCACAAGCTGGTGTGTGCTGGCACTATGAGAAATGAGCAGCTCATTAATTCCAGGCACTGTATTCATTTCAAACCCATCCCCGGGCCTCGATTTTGCAAGCAGATGCAGCGAGGCAGAACTGGACAGCACAGGATCAGAAATGTTCTCATCATGCCAGGAACAGAGGGACAGGAATGCAGGGGAGGGGTGGCACAAACCACAGTGCTCAGGTCCACCCTGATGGTGCAAACAAGTGACAGAACACACACAGTTCAATGCAAAGCACATTTTGCCCAGGACTGTGGTTAATTTGATTTTTCTTGCTAAAAGGAAAACAAAATATCAATGGCTGGGTGAATTGGAAATGCACAGTGAAATAATGCCACTGTGATCTTTAGGGTACTTTGATATCTAAATATAAAAAGCCCTCTAAAATACGCTTAAAATCTTTCTGAAAAAAACCCACAACTGAATAGAGGAAACAAGAAGAAAAAAAAAAAAATCCTGCAAACAAATATATATATGTCTAGGATAAGGTGTTCACTAAAAGTAGAATATACACAATGAGTGGTGAATGAAAAGACCCCCAAAATCCTAATCCTGTTTGTAGAGATATTTTTTAAAATTCAATTTACTATTACATATAAAATTAGAAAAATATGCTAAAAATACCCAACTCTTGCCCTGCATCAATGAACACAACTTACAACAGCTACCTTGATAGTCCAAAGCACAATCTCAATGAAGAATTTATCACTTTTGCACCTCAAAGGGTTATAATCAAATCTGTGATTTGAATATTTCTGAACCTGTGGTCAGAGGGTTTAAGATCCTTTCAGAGATATTCTTTGAACCACATGTCATCTTGAAAAGATTTTTCCAAGGTTTAGATCAAACTTTAAACCATCTCTGTGAAAGACAAAGAAAATCCCTTTATTTTTTTCCCTGCATGATATTTTGCAGTGTGTTCACATGCTAATGTTGATGCCTTGAGAGGCTATCTGGAACAGAGGCCAGACAGTGCTAAAGGAATAAAGTAGAGATTTATGAAAAGGCCTTTAAAGAACACATCTTGGGCAGCACAGGAGCACAGGCTCCACCCAAAATGGACAATGGGACATGAGTTTTTACACTTTTTTACATTTTGGTCCATTTCCATATTGGGATTAATTGTGCAATTACAGCTTCAGGTGACGAAGTCCCATCCTCCCACACTGCTCTCCTCAATTCGCTGATTATACTTTTTTAGCCTGAAATTGCAATGGTGTCCTTGGTTCTTGGGCTGAAACAGGATTGTTTTGTCTGACTACACTGTGAGGAGACCTTGCTAACACTTTGTATGAAGTTCAGAGTTATATACCAATGTGGTACAGAATCTGGATAACATGAAAGCTAAAACTTAAGGCATTAATGTGTCTGTGGATGAATATCATCCTCATAAGGTAACTGTCCCAAAAATTGAAAAGCTGACTGAGGAAAAATGTTGTAATGCAAAGTCTGATTCAGTGTGATGACTTTAGGGATTTTTAGATTTATTTCTTTAATTTTAAAAAGAATAGAGGCAGCAGTTTGTTTCCAGTAAGTCAGGAAATATTTTGGTTTTCTTTTAAGAACTGACATACCTGTGGTATTTGGTGTGCTAAATATGATTCTGTTTCATTGTTAGTATTGTCCCAATAGCAGAGAATGACTCTTGAGCTTGATGCAGCACTATTTTGCCAGAGAAAAAGAAACCTTTTACTCTTCTTCTTCCATTGCACTGCTGGATTCGTAACTTGCACACATTACAGTCAGTCTATAAAACCACACATCTTAAAAACCTTTGAAGAGATACAAACACTGCAGCTCAGGGTGAATATATGAGAGAAAAATCACTTCAGTGTGAGCTGCAATATTTAATTCCTCAGGACTGTTTCCAGCAGTGCCCAAGAGCACTTCTGCAGGCTCAGACACCGGTGCTCTGTAAAACACTGCCAAACACTTACTGTGAAGGTGCTGGGCCATGTTTATTGTCCACTCCCCTGGTAAGGTCCCAGCTCTGGAGATCTTGGAGCACTTGAGCTGGCTGGAGAGATCTCGTGCCTCGATCCAGCACAGGCTGTCCTCTCTGTAGCTGTAGTCCAGGCTCACCACTGCAGATCCCTTCACAGGGCTCCGGGCTGACATTCTGCTGCCATTGAGGTACAAAACCTCAATGGTCTCAGAGCTTGCCACCAGAAGAAGAGGAGGTCTATCAGCAGGCTCTGAAAACAAAGTGAAGAGAGTTTAAAGGATTAACAGGCTGTATATTTCATATTTATCTTTTCAGTTTTAATGTAGTTTTTAATGTTCTTACCTGCTCGTTTTAAGATATGTAATAAATTGGTTTTGTTTTTTATTTTCATAACTATCATATATTCCCAATTATTAGTCTATTTTATCCTGCTGTTGCAATGGTTCACATCATTAAAGAAAATTAATTACCTCAGCCCTACAGACTCTATTTAATTCCAAGTATCATTATTGCAACATTTTTCATGCCTAAGTCATAAAATGAAATACAACTTATGCAAATTATCTCTATCCAGATTACCGGCATTTCAAAAAGAATTAAGGCCAGGAAAACCTGCAGAACTTATGAAGACTCATGAAATTGCAAGATGCTTTTCACATGAAAGTCTATAAAATAGGACAAAATCTGAGGAGTGAGTGCTGCTTAAAGAAAATTAAGGAAAAATCCAGTGCAGTGAAACCTTAAAGCATAGAAAATCTGCAGTTTCAGGGATATTTGAAAAAAAAAAATAAATAAAAAAATGTGTTGCCACGTCAGGAGCTCTCACCCCAATGTAATCTGCTTGTTTTCAAAGTAATGCATCAATGTTTGAACACTGCATTGACATACAACACTTTCAATCAACATTCCACCTAATGGAATCTCAAATTTTCACTAAGCAGTTCCAGATGTCTAAATGGTGAAAAAGAATGACATAAATAAAAGGATCTGACAAATGCTACTTCATCAGCAGGTCTGATTAGAGAGAAGAGAATACTTCAGTGAGTCTAATGCTCAGTGGTCTCACTCAAAGCCACAGCAGTAAGTGTTCAATTCTCTGCCAAAATCTGCTTTTATTTAAACATCTTGAAAACTTATAGTGTCTATTCTTTCTAACATGGATTTCATTTACTCCTTATTTATTCCTTCTCATTCCATAATTTATATTCTGTCTTGTTACACATCTCGTCCCTCTCCAGTAAATCCCACATGAACATTAGTGAATCCACACCTCTGCAGCATTGCTTTTGGAACTCACTGCCTGTCCTCATCATCCTCACACTCACTTCCACCCATCCATCAGTCAGATCCAAACATTAAATTTCTTTGAATTTCAGAAGATATCCAAGAACTGTAGGGATTTAACTTTTTTTTTGTAAAACCATCCCTTGTGGTGTAAGCCATGAGTGAAGTTTTGTTTGTTTTTTTCCTTTCTAAAAGATAAAGTAGTGGGGGAGGGGTTTCTCACTAAGCAATTTTTGTTTGAAACCTGCCAGGTGGGTCCCTTTGCAGTCAGTGCCTGTAAATCTCTCTTTCCCCCTGTTCTTAACAACTTTTGCTACCCTTGAGAAGAAAGCCTGGTTTAAGAACTTCAGTCCCTATCACCCACTCACCCCAGACTTTCCAGACTGGTACAAAAGGAGTGTTTCCATCTGCATCCTGCTGAGTCTGGGGATTTATTTTTACATCCAGCAGCTCTGTGCTCAGCTTCTCTCTCCCCACAAAATAACACCACTGCCTACTTCTGGATTCAATCACTCTTTCCCCAGCTACCAGCAGTGTGAAAAGACCTTTATTATGATTTTTGCTCTTATACTTTGTGTTAAGCCGGATATTTCCACAGTCTGCACTATCTAAAGCCTCAAAGAGAAGGCAGCTCACAGGAGCTGTTTGCAGTTCCAAAGCCACCAGGTGGTTTAGGGCTGCAAGAGAGAACCAGATCTTTTCTTTGAACTGACCTATTGAAAACTGTAACGAGGATTTAATACCTCACTAAACTCCAGAGAAAGGTTGTATTTTGGTATTAGGGTCTAAGACATAAGGGAATTCTTAAAAGGAATTAGCTTCAAACCTCTTGAGCAGCAGCTGTAATCAAACCTGGCTGCACACAAAGGTGCTGTAAGGACCTGTGGCACTGCCAAGAGGTTCTGCTCAGCAGGCAGCATTACACATTAAAAATACAGAAACTAGATTACTGGGCTTGAAATCATATTTTTAAAGCATAAATACATTAAATAATTCCATGGATTAAAGCAGTTAATCATGGTTTTTCACAGTAGGCTAGATTACCTGCATCCTTCAGTGCTGCTCAGATAAAGGCTGATTTCATAATTTGAAAAAAAAAAAACCCCATAATATATATTGATAATAAAACTATTTTAAAATTTTAAATATTAAAAATATTTAAAATACTAAAATTTCATACAAAAATATATAAATCATCTTACTGTATAGCATGATGCAGATGAAAATTAGGAGATACTAAAAAAAAAATCATGTCTTCACTCTCACAAAACTGCTTGTCTGTTCCTCGAAAACAGATTCTACACAGCTTAAAAGTGTAGTGGACAGATTTAGGGCGAGTTCCAGTGAGCTGACAGCAGCTTTTCAAACAAGTGGACTTCATGTGTGTTATTTTTCCACAAGTTTTTTTTTTTTTTCATTTTTTTTTTGCCATTTTATAGGAAAGATAAGAAGTGAATAGCTCTTTAATCCAGGGAAGTTTTATGATTCATCCTTCTTGACTAAAATGAAAGCATCCTCCTTTGAATTATGTTTAAGATAGAGTAGTGGAAAAGATGAAAGACTTGCATTTCCCTCCTACCTTATCTTGTCTAAAATACAGATCAATAAGTGATGCCACAACAAATCAGAAACGAAGGTGTTTTGCACTGCCAACAGACTTCTGATCTGAAAAAAAAAACCTCAGAAATGCTGGCATTTTCTATTTTTTCCACCACAATGATATGAAAAGCATAAACTCCTGAATTCAGAGTTTACAAACAGCTCAAATCCCCTCTTCCTGGGGTATGCATTGTAAACCATAAGAATTTTGCTGTCACCAATATATGTATTGTATAAAAATCTGAAAAAAATACTGAGCTGTCCAATTGCTTTTCAACATTATTTTTGATGTTTAACCATAATGTACCTCACAAATGGGTTGTTTTATTTCTAAAGTTTTAAAACTTAGATTGGCAAGATTTTACAAGAAAATTGTGTTACAAATCAGTTAAACAGGGCTGTTTTTTGGGGTTTTTTTTAAAGCTAGATGTTTTTTTCTTTAGTCATTATCAGTTAATCCCACTTCATCTACGTGACAAATCTTTCTTACCACGCAGCATTTCTCTCTAGATTGGCTTTGGAGATACAAAACATAACAGGAACTTTAGTAAAACAGATGAATTTCTTTTCCTCAGCTAGATATTCCCAATTCTGTCATTCTCTTTCCTTAAATACTCTTCTCATCACATGCAGACTTTGCAATTTAGGCATAAAAACTTGGTAAACAAGTAAGTTCTTAAATTCTGTTCAGCAAAGCTGTGTTTTGTCTCATTTTCACCTCAGAAGAAACCATTAGCTGCCTCTTTATTCACAAAAGAAAATATGCTTAAAAAGTCTGGGAAAAAACCCACAGTGAGCCCCCAGCTGTTTCGATGCCTATTTTAACATCCTTCCCATAGGGAATGTGAAGCTAAAAGCTCTCAGTTCCAGAGTTATTTAATTGTGCTGAGGAAGAAAATGTGGAATTTAACGAGGGAGGGACCTCACCACCTTCCCAGGAGAGCGTGGGGCTGCCTGAAGGGCAGCAAGGAGCAGCCTCTGAGGAGTTTCTGCTCATTGTTCCACACCACACGTGCACAGAGCCTTGAGAGGGACTCTGAGCCACACAGGAGCTGATGGACCTGTGGGGTCACCACACTGTCCCCAGCACCGGGCAGGGCTCCTGGACACAACAAGAGTCACCTCCTGCTCCTCAGCGTTCAGGAACCTCCCAGTTCATCTCCAGAGCCGGCTGGGGTGGTGGTGGTGGTGTGGCTTGGTGTTGGTGATGGTGGTGGCTTGGTGTTTCGGGCTGTGTAAGATTCCAGGATCTCAGCATGGACGGTAATTCATCTTCTGGTATGAATGTGGAAAGCTCCTCAGAAAGCCCAGCCCACCCCTCTCCTGCTGCTTCTTATCTCCCACAGCTTTTCCACACGGAGCTGAATCTGCCTCGGCTCATTTTCTTCATCTGTTTGACAACTACTTTTGCCAAATGTAGACAAAGCAGAGAGGTTGCCCTTTTTCCATTCTTAATTGCTTTAGGTTCTTTAAGGACAACAATTGATAAGTTTTCTAAGTGCTGGGTTTCTTTCTTCCTTGTGTACCTGTTTTGTTGTTTGTTTTTTTCCTTGGATTCTGTTCTTCTGATCCAAAGTTACATTTTTTTTCAAAAAAAGTAATGGGCAACACTCATTTCTGTGCAGCACCATGACCCTGGTTTGTACTGTCCTACAGGGACTTATTTGATTAATGAGTAATGATTCCTTTCTGAAAATTCCAAAAATGTGAAAACTTCTGTCAAATAAGCATGATAAAGTAGCAAAAAATACAGAGAAGTTACTTATTAATGTGATTTGTTCCATCTTGACGCCAACAACTAACTAGAAAACTCAGTTGTTACCCAGTTTTCTGTGTGTAAAAAGGGAAACTAAAAGGATCATCTCAAGCCCAATACTTGCACCATGAGGATTTCCTGATCTAGAATTGCATTTTCGATTTTCGTGTAGTGGAGAAAGAATAATAAAATATAATTACCTTGTGAGGTCTTTCTTATCTCACAAGGCTTCACTGTGGATATTTTAAAAAAAATGTCCATGTATGGATCAAGAAAAAAACATATAAGCAGAAAAATACTCTTTAACTCCTAGTGGTGATCAAGGAAGTAATTTAGTAATGCTCATTAGGTGAGGAAGCCTCAGAACCATCACTAAACCTATTTTCTGATGGCGAAATAGTTACAAAAAGGAAGCCTTAAAAATATATACAATAAACACGGCTTCATGCTCAGCCGCATATGCTTCAGCATTGTGGATATTCAAGAATTCCTTAAGGAACTTTTTTGGGTTTTTAATATAAAAGCATTGTTAATTCATTATGCTGAATAAGAAAACACTGTGTATTATATTGCCTCATTAAACACAATTGACTAATTTCCTCAAATACCCAATCCACTAGAAGTAATGAAAACACACACTAAGCAACAAAAAGCCTCATGTGAATATGTATATCAGGAAATTCACCTCTTGGGATGATGCAAGGACAAAGCAATCTCATGTCTTTTTTCATCCTAAGGGTACAATTACCTCATGATCATTTCCCCTGTCTCCATTGTCTTCCCAGAGTAAACAGACTTTTTTGTTTGTGTGAGGAAAATCTTTGATTTATTTATGAACAGGGAAACTGGGAACTCTTCTAATCTTGTCTGAATTGAGTATTTTGCTTTAATTAATAATATCCAGATAATAACTTTTAATATTTCCCTCGGAGTATTGTCTTAATAAGGGAAAAGTTTTTTCTAAGCTTGTTGTGTGGCTCTTTGTAGAAGAGTGAAGGAAAGTTCATCTCACCTGTGCTCATCTCTGTCTTTTCATATGAATCCTCTAGGACCAAACCACAAAATATTTTCAGGAAGGTAAAGAGATGTTAAAACTTACTATTTTTAGCCTTGCAGGATTTGTTATCAGGCTGAAGTACATAACCCTCCACACAGCTGCAAGTGTAGGATCCATCTGTATTTACACACGTCTGGCTACAGCTTCCATACATGTCACATTCATTCACATCTAAAGGGATATTAAAAAGATCTACTTTAGTGATCAGGGAGGAAAAAAAAAAAAGAAAATCAATATAACTGAGAATTCTAAGAGAGATGTTTAAGTCATGAATCATTTTGGTGGGAGGCTTGCTGTTTTCCCCTTCCCAAACCATGAATTTATCAGGGATGTTGGCTGTTGAAATCACTCAAATAGCCAGAGAGAAGGGTAGGAGTTTTCAAGTTCAATAGCTCTTAATTTTTTTAAGATAAAACCTTCATTATTTCAAGTAGTCTTCAATGCCTACATCATGTTAGGGAGACATTTGGGTCCTTGTTAGTACTGGAGATCACTAGTTATCAGGGTTGATGAATGGAGCAACATTTCAGGAGAGGAAGTAATTGATTACCCTTCTCAACCTATTTATGCTGGCAATGTCTTACAGTTCCTTAAATGAGCTGTCACCACTTCTCCATTAAACCACCATCCAACATCAAAAACTATATACTCCTCTAATAAATATAAAGAACATTTTTCTCAACTGGAGTGTATGAGGATAATACCATAAAATCAAGATATGCTATTTAACAGTAGTTGAGGGTTTAAGTAATAAATTGACATTCTAAAAAACCTGCTGTTTAAATTATTTCCTGAGATATATTTTTAATCACGAAACATGACAACCATAGAGAGCAAGAACTTATAATAAATTATATTTATGAAGAATCTGGCTCAGTACTTGTAGTTTGAGATAGGAATGATTGGTAGTGAGAGCATCCATGGAGCCACAGAACTCCAATATGATTATTAATAGAGAAAAAATAGAGCAAGAAACAAACACCTGGATAGAGAATGAAGAAGACATATATTTTAAAAATGGAAGAGAACAGTCTACAGTTTAAGTCTAGAGTTTCAGTCTGTATTAATTACTCCAAAATAAGGTTCTCAGTTAAGCTGTATGACCTTGGGAAGAATCATTTATCAAATTCTAATCTAGGTGTGACTTTATGGCTGTGAGGTGAAACACTACAAGTTTTAGAGGCTCTCTTGGTGGGGAGGTGTGGAGAGAGAGCAGCTCACACAACTCAGCTTTAGCTCTAGAACCACTCCAGTCCAGCTGATCTTTCAGTAACTTCAGGAGAGCTGCTGCTGCTGGGGCACAGGAGCATTAGAGAGTCAGGAGGAAGATCCTGACTCATTTTAGGGGCACTCTTTCCCATTTTCTGCCCCAAAAGCTCACGTTTGTGCCTGACCAACACCCTCAAAGAAGGGTGAGGAGGCAATGGTGCTGTCCTGGTTGTCCTCCAGCTCCCTGCCCTGAGAGCCAACAGGAAACCATCAGAACACCTGGATGTTAATGTTACACTGAATTTCTTGTTTACCTGAGCAGCTTTTCCCATCACTGCTTGTTTCATATCCATCCCTGCAGTAACACCACGTGCCGTTCCTGGTGATGGCACATTTGTACTGGCAATCCATCTGCTGGCACTTGGGCAGCAACTCTGTGAATGGTAACAGAGCAAGATGTCACTAAATATTTCTGTTATTCCTAGATCACAAGCTACAGATACATTGAAATATATTTGAGTGCATGTCTCAGGGAGGAAACAGCACCACCAGTTATATTAGCTGGAAATATATCACACACACACACCCTGTAAAGAGCTTGTTATGAAAACTGCAGGTCAGCAAGTTAAACATTAGAAATCAGCATTTTATTTCTATCTAGAGTTGCTCACAAGTTTGTTATTGAGGTATACTCTTGCTCTGCTTAAACATGCACTTTCTGCCTGTTAGTCATGACAATTATTGGGAAAAAAACCAAACCAAAACAAAACAATCTTGAAGTGGTAACAGTTATAAAAAACTCAGATTATGAGAAATGTTTCAACATCTATGTCTTTATTATTCCTCATACCAATTGATTTTCTAACTTTTTTGAGCTTGTTTTGATTTAATGATGCACACAAAACCTTCACACCAAACAGTGGGAACACATTCTGCCTCAATATTTTAACACTGGACATGTAATGCTGGATAGACCCGTGAAGATTATATTTGTCCTTACTGCAGACATCCCTCATAGAATCTGCTTAAATACACACCATCAGCAAAAGGCATGATGAAAACTGAAGAAATCTTGTAGAAATACAGACTGTAATGTTTTCCAGCATGAAACAGCACAAAACCAAACAAAAAATGCTCCAAACCCTTCACAGCCTCAAGCTGTGTGCCATGTTTCAATAATTTTGCTGATCAAAAAAATCCCCACTATTTTAATGAGCAACACTTTTTTCCCTTCAGGAAAATTTTAAAAAAAAGATTGAGAAACCCAGCTTAAGGAGGTGCTCTGAGGGTATTTTTCAAAACTATGCAGATGGATCAGAAAATAACCTGCAAATGGACAGAGAAATTTCTGCTACAGGGCTGGCTTTAAGTAACTGGGTATGACATAAGGAAAAAGAGAAATCTGTATCTAATATGTGAATAGTTTTAATTTGTCTGATCATTATTCATCGAGTTCTGCTTGGGAGTAGGATGAACATGAATATGAAGAAGAGTCTCTATCAGCATCTGAGCCCTGGAGCTTCCATTCTGGAGCGACTGCCGCTGTCAAAATAAAGCTGAAATTTTGGGAGAAAAGTGGATGTGGCTGGCACACAAAGGTACAACTTATTCTAATGCAACTGTTCTAAAAAGAAAGTGGTTTCACATGATTATCTCAGGGCATTCCCTAGAACTCTGTGCCACTCAATCTACAGACAGCCCAGAGGTCGATAGACCCCACACTGTCTAAATCTGCCCATTTTCCCAGTGGTTTCTGGTATATTTCTCTGCCTTTTGGGCCCCTGTGCATAGGAAGATAACGTATTTTTTTGGCTGTAGTTGCTTTGTTGGTTTCCAGTCCTTAGTCCAGTCCTTCAATGTGCTGCACCTTTCCAGAACAAGTCCCACACAGAGGGTAAACTGAGGAACATCCCTAAAGGTGCCCTAAAATGGTTCTGCATGCCGAGGTGCGGAGCTGGAGCCAGACGAGGTGGCATCTGTTTATTTAATGTGTCTATCTGAACAAAATCAACACACACATCTCATTTTCTAAGCAAACATGGATCAAACATCCTCTACCACCTATAATTTTCTTCCTCCAATATTTGTCTGGTGCTACACAGCCAGGAGCTGCTACTGGATGGGAGCTGTTTGACTCACAAACAGGATTTGGTTTGTTTGCACTCTTTCCTTAATGGATGCAGACAGCCAGCAGCTTGAACCAGAACAGACCTGCATACAGCCAGGAAAGCTGGAGAACAATGACAATTAATTGGAAAGTGAGGCCAGTTTAGGGAAAAACACAAACTAAAAAATCCCCAACAAACTAACCAAAAACAAACTGACCAGACAAAAAAACCCCAACAGTCCATCTGCTGATTTTTTTCACAAAAACTTTTGCATTTCATTGATTTTAAGTTATTGCAGTAGCATGTGAGTGGCTTTTTACAGCAAAATGGTTGCATTTCCCTTACAAAACCAGTAAAAAACCACTGTTAGCTGCCATCTGTTTCTGACTTCAGACTGACATTTTCCCCTGCTACTCTAAATTATTCATCAGATCATTTCAAATATATTTTGTTTTCTTATTATGACAGACACTTTCTGGCCCCAGAAAGTTTTGCTCTGTTGCTGATCTTCTAACCCTGCCAGGGGAACCCATAAGTGAAAATACAATAACAATACAATAACAGTTGAGGGAAAGAATAGATAGACTATAAAAAAACAGAATAGAATAAAATAGAATAGATTAGGAAAGAATATTTCATTTGAAAGGGACCTACAATGATCATTTAGTCCAACAGCCTGAGCCCTTCGGGACTGACCAAGAGTTAGGGCAAATTATTAAGGCCTCTTCCAGATACCTTTAATAAATAAAACATTAAACAGTAAAATAGAAAATGTATTTTCTACTTTACCAGCTAGTTTGTAATAGCTGTAATACTTGATTCTGAAAACCTCTGGAAGAAAACAGAGTTTGACTGCCTCTGGCAATGTTTGAAATATTGAAGGACAAGCTATGGAAGACAGTGTATACATTTAAGGCTTGGTTAGATTTGTAACAGGTTTCTTGGGAAGTGAGAAGGCAAAGAAAAATCATGAAGCAGAACACTGATATTTTTAATGCTCCAGATAGGACCTTTAAAGAGATAAAAGCCAAGGGACTGTCATTTCTTGTCTTTTCTAAAATTCTGCACCCACTTTGATCTCCCCTTCTCAGTGAGAACTGGTTTACAAAGTACACAGGCAGTGAGGAATGAGCATCACTGAGCTTTCCACTTTCATCACAGCTACAGAAAGCTCAGAATTGGACAAAGCCTGCTATTTCTACTGCAAGATTTAAAGGAAGGAGCTGCACCGAAGGAAACAACAGGAGAGAGCTTTACAGCTCTCTGGCAGACCCCCAGCTCAAGACAAGGAGCTGCAGAGCAAGTTGGGAGATTTGCAGGAATACGGGGTAGCAGCAGCAGCTGCTGTGAGTGTCTTTAGGATGATCTACTTTCCCCAAGCCCGGGGAGTAGTGACAATTCATTCAGCTCTGATTTAGGTCATTTTGTTCAGTGTTTTCTTTCTTCCACAGGAGACATGAAGGGCAACGTTTTTTACTTCCCTACATCTCCATGAACTCTCTGAAGCTGCGATCCAGGTCTGCCACAAAAGCCACCCTGCTTTCTCAAAGACACCCATGCCAATCTTATGCTTCCTGACTTTCATGCTGCTCTAACTCCCAGGCATCTGGTCCCACATGAGAGTAGTCAGTCAGGGAAAGATGCTGCTGATCTCATCTCCCCTGAAGTGATACCTTTGACAATGACTCAGAGGAGCTGTAAGCTTCCCGGACAAACTGCTCCCGCAGGAATTCGCCGTAATAAAATCCTGCCTTCATTTATTCCTTCTGTGCTCAATGAAACACACTGCTTATCACAGTTCATTCAGGATGAATGATATAAGGAACTAACTTCTCCTGAATGGCTTTTTAATGAAAGGTTTAAGCAATTGATCTGACTATCCTTTTTGTCAGTTCCTCCTGAGCTGACATGAGGTTCACAAAGGGTTCACACCAGGTTCTCATGCTCAGATATTTTGGCTGTTTCTGTGAAGGGGAAAAGCAGTTCAGCTTCGAGTTTCTGAACACAGAATTTATTTATTTGTGGGCTATTGTCAAAAAAGATAGAACAGGTTTACCAATATACCTGTTTTTCTTTCCTGACAGGAAAAACAACCAAGGCCAGGTTGCATGGGGCCATGAGCAGCCTCACCTGGTGGAAGATGCCCCAGGCCTTAGCAGGGGATGTGGATGAGATGAGGAATGAGATGATCTTTAAGGTCACTTCCAACCCAAACCTTTCTGTGATTCTGTACGACCATACAAAGGCAGACTTGAGGCACACACAACAAAATGTATTTAGCTGCCATTATTTCTACACCTCCTGCATGACAGGAAAGCATTTTGGCTGCAGTGGGTTCCCAGATATGTTTTCTATGTACTTCTGTAATATATAAATCCTGTCCTGCTCTTTTTATAATGACAATATATACTGGAGAGTACTGCCAACCTTTCAGGACTCTGTGAATTAAAATTTACTATTTATGTAATGTTGTTAAACATCAAAAATACAGAGCTGGTGCAAATCAAAGAAACTGGCTGAAGTTTACATGTTGAAAGTGCCAGAAAATACACCAGGGGTATAAAAGCAGAGCTGCTGTTGTCAGTTCAGGACTTCCCAATTTGAAACAACAAAGGATCCTTGTCACATAGTTCATCAGAGAGTGACCAGGAGCTACCAGTGCAATGTTTTCTGGGAAAAAGGGAAATGCATCACTGAGAGCATTGGGAGAAGCGTTTCCCAGAGAGGAAGTGTTGATGTCAAGCCCCAGGATGCTCCTGAGTGCTTTCCTTCCAGGAGGCAGCTGCTGGCAGCTGTGCACACCCCGATGGATACGTGGAGAATAAACTCAGCTTTAAGCAGAATCACAGCCTGAGGGATTAGCAGGGGAAGGGAGAGCTGCAATCTGAGGGCTGACTGCAAATTTTCGTCTTGATTGGTGCCAGGGGATGAAAATGAAGAGGAATTATGACTGCTGTCTATGAATATATCAGAGGATCAACAGCGGGGAAAGAGACAATTTAAACTAAAGGGCTATTGGCAGAAGTACAAATGAGTATAAATTGCCCATTAATAAATTCTGGCTGAAAATGAGAAGGTTCTTAGCTATTACCATAATCAGGTTCTGGAACTCCTCTTTGAGTGCGAACAGCAGGGACAGAAAATAAGTGCTTGCTTTTGACATGGATCGTGATAGACCAAGAAAAACCAGCATATGGAAAGGGCCCTGAAATACCAGAAACCATTTACATGACCCAGGAGGTTCCTCCACTGTGTTCCTCAAGCAACATACTACCTAAAGCTAAAACACCAGTTTTCATTATGGAGCTAAAATCAATCTTTTTTTT